CTAGTAGAGTCAATAAAAATGTGATAGAAAGTCTAATAACTTCTACTAAAGTCGTGTAGATCAAGATCTACAAGTGTGAATGGGTAGAGACGTGGGCGTAAGAGCTTTACTTGCAATAAACAAGTAAAGACTGCAGTTAGTTGACCTTTAAACAAAGGCTTTAGCCCAGGGATTTTGGGTTAATTATTGTCTTTACAATAATTAAAAAGAAGAGCAACTGACGCACAGTTCTCAATCCTAATTTGATCCTCTTCTATTCTAAGAAAGGTCAAAGAAAGTGGTGTTAAGGTCTATTATAACACCGGGAACTTTACACTCTGACTAATAGAGATTTCCCGTAGATTTAGAGTTTCTTATATCAGATGAATCCCAAATCTGATATGAGCAATACTCAAGGACTACTTCCTTACAAGTAATTCCACCAAATGGATATTACCAGAAATACTGATTATGGAGTCTAATCAGAAACAAAGTTGAATGAGCACACAGAGTAAGCAACAAGACACAAGGTTTGAGTTTCCAGGTTCGTAGAATCAGGCCTTTAAAGTTTGGTTATTGAAAAGCAAAGTTTAAAGGTTCTAGGAAGATGAATAAAAGCAAAGTTGTGTAGTTGTTGAATAATAATGTGACAATGTTCTTCTTCTCAATTTGGTTGGATTTCCAGGGTTTATATAGTCTGAACCTTGGAAATCTTTGGACTACAAGTGCGCACAAATTGTGGTTCTATGGTTAGGTTAATTACAGTAAGACAGTTACTATTGTATTATAAGTATATTTCACTTGTTACATATGTGTTACGGCTGTGAAATATATGTAGCTTTGGTTTGCATCAAAGTTATGTATGTTCACACCCTTTGATTTAAGTTCTGCACATGTTACATATGCTAAATCATATGTAACTTGACTCTTGAAACTGAGCCTTGAGTTGTAATTGCTATTTTTTAAGGTTTTTATTATAATACGTCGCCCATTGGTACTCTGGTTTAGTACTCAGGGCTGACATTCCCCACCACCAGAAGAGGTCATACGCCTTCTCAAGGTTTATGATCTCTTCTCAGCCGGGACATGGATGAAATCGGTTTGCTCGTCCATTCTTTTGCTTTTTTGATTTTGTTTCTTTCTGTTTGTTGAAAAAGGGATTTCTAGTTAATATTTAGATACTGAGACTTGATCAGATTCTCCTAAAATACGTACGTGGGGTTTTATAAAGATTTTCTTCTATGGACTCCGAGTACCTTAAAAGGTGTCGCGCGTTCGCTGATTTTGCTTGTTGGGTTGTTAGTTTTGAGGTTGTTGGTTCCTTTGGTCTAACTAATAGAAGGAAAAGGTCGCTGAGGAAGGATCGAATAACTAGCTGGGAAATTCGAGGCTGACTCACGACTTGGGGATTTTTTTATAATTTGTGGAGGACGAGTGCTTAGTTGGCTGTTTGGTTCGAGCTCGAGAGTGTAGGGTTGGTAAGCACTATAGGGTAAGAGAAATTCACAAATTACTAAAAGGGTTTCTTCGATTGTGGTTTGGGAAGTTTTGTTAGAGGAAAGGAAGAGGATTACTAACAAATAATTATTTGTTATTGTCAACTGGGGATTCAGTTTGGTGAATGTAGTTGAGAAGCTGCTTGAGGATCTATTCCACAAGCGAGGGATGGATGTCTTATATAGGCATCCATCTCTGCAAAGTACAAATAAGTAAATGTGAGAAAGATACAATATGATGATGTCAGAGACATCGAGGTAAAATAGAGGATGGCCAGATCCAATCTTACATGGATCCGGTTCGACAACATTGATGGACGAATCCGGAGGGTTCGTCAGAAAAAAGAAAATGAGGGCAAATTTTAAAAGCGCACAAGTGAAAGGAAAAGCACGCTTGAAAAGCGTGAGGCAAAAGACAATAGAAAAGAGAGAACAAAGGGAATCAGGGTATCACAGTGCATATGACTTTTGATAGCAAACAAGAAAAACAAAATGAAAAATCCAACACCCCCCCCTTGCTGCAAAAAGTCATGAAACAAAAGAAAAAGAAAGAAAGAAAAAGAAAATCCACAAATACGTCAAAATGCCTAAGAAATAGAAACATAGCAAGCAAAAACTTGTGCTCATATAATGGCCGTGGAGTTGTTTTGACAAAAATTGGTAGCAAGACCCCGGTGCCATACAAAGGTGAGGACTTACTTTTGCTTTGCAGCAATATGCTGAAACCCCAACTGATTCCTGATCATTTCAAAAA